GGGGATGTCCCTGATGTTCTGATCCCTTGGATCCGCGCTGTTCGTCTCCAGCTCCGCGAGCGGTTCGAGACGGACCTTCCCGTCCTGCGTCTGCACTCTGACAGAGGTGGTGAGTTTTCCTCCGACCTTCTGAGGGCTTTCTGTCGTGCAGAGGGCATCCGCCAGACGTTCACGCTTCCAGCCTCCCCACAGAAAAATGGGATTGCTGAGCGCCGCATTGGCATGGTCATGGACGTCGCTCGTACCTCCATGATCCATGCGGCTGCCCCCCATTTTCTGTGGCCATTTGCAGTCCAGGACGCTGCACATCAGCTCAACCTCTGGCCCCGTGTCTCCTTGCCAGAGACCTCGCCCAAACTGCGTTGGACGGGGGAGGTTGGCGATGCGTCAGTGTTCCGGGTCTGGGGATGTCGAGCCTTTGTCCGCGATACGTCCGCGGACAAGCTCTCCTCCCGTGCTGTTCCCTGCGTCTTCCTTGGCTTTGTCCCTGATGCGTCTGGCTGGCAGTTTTACCACCCCACCTCGCGCCGGGTCCTGCTCTCTCAGGACGTCACGTTTGACGAGTCGGTTCCCTTTTACCGTCTCTTCCCCTACCGCACTACACCGCTTCCCCCCCCGCCGCTCTTCCTTGCACCAGGTCCTCCTCCGATAGACCCCCTCCCCCCTCAGGGTCCTGCTCCCTCAGGTGTGTCTCAGGTAGACGCTGTCGAGCCTGTCGAGGTAGCGGTTGACTCTGGTGCTGCTACTGGGGGTGGTGCTGCTGGGGGTGCTGAGCCTGAGCGTGCGGAGCCTGGGGGTGCTGAGCCTGAGCGTGCGGAGCCTGGGGGTGCTGAGCCTGAGCGTGCGGATGGGGGTGCTGAGCCTGAGCGTGCGGAGCCTGGGGGTGCTGACCCTGAGCGTGCGGAGCCTGGGGGTGCTGAGCCTGCGCGTGTGGAGTCTGGGGGTGCTGAGTTTGGAGTTGCTGAGTCTGAGGGTGCGGAGCCGGCGGTTGCTGAGACTGGGGGTGCTGAGTCTGCTGGAGTTCCTGCAGGTGCCTTGTCTCGGCGGGAGCCTCTCTCTCCACCGCAGCTGCGCGAGTGGTTTGCTCGCCGCTGGAGACTCCAGCGAGGTGCTGCTGGAGCTGGAGCTGCTGGAGGTACTGCTGGTGCTGGAGCTGCTGGAGGTGCTGGAGCCGCTAGTCCCGGAGGTGCTCGTACTGGGGGTACTGGAGCTGCTGGAGCTGAAGGTGCTGCTGGAGCTGGAGGTGCTGGAGGTGCTGCTGGTGCTGGAGCTGCTGGAGGTGCTGGAGCCGCTGGTCCCGGAGGTGCTCGTACTGGAGGTGCTGGAGCTGCTGAAGCCGGAGGTGCTCGTACTGGAGCTGGAGCAGCTGGAGGTGCTGGAGCTGGTGGTGCTGCGGGAGTTGGAGGTGGAGACCCTGGAGCTGGGGGTACTGGTGCTGTCTCTGCTGTTTCTGGAGGCGCTACGCGGCCGCGGCCGTACTACGTTCCGCTCCTTCAGCAGGTTCTTGGCCTCCCACCTTCTACTGGTCCTCCTCTTCCCTTACTGTGTCCACCGCCTGACCAGTCGCAGTCACAGCTACAGCCAGCCTCCCCACTGCCTGGTTCTTCTCCTTACTCAGGGCCGACTAGAGGTCTTACGGAGCGTCGTGAGCCTGAGTCTCGTCCTTCGTCGCCTGAGTCTCGTCCTGCGTCGCCTGTTCGAGCTGTCCGCACTGGTCATCGTGTTCCGCGTCAGCGTCCTCCTGCTGTCCCAGGCACACACCAGATGGCACTTCGTCCTTCCACTGCTCCTCAGCGTGTCTCTCTGCCGTCTCCTCCTGCGTCCTCTCTTGCTGACCTTGCTGACCCGCCGTCAGACCTTGCTCGTGCTGCCAGTCCTACTGTCACGCGTCTACTCGCTACTGTTGTCACTGACCCTTCGTTTGAGTCCACTGCTGCGTCTGCCCTAGTTGCTGAGCTTGTTGACTTTGCTGCCGCCTGTCGTCTAGACTACGCTGTTAGTCTTGTTGCTGAGTCTGAGTCTGTCTGTCCTTCGTCCGTCGGGGGTGAGTGTGCTCTTGGTACGGACGTCCTTGAGGACAGACAGGAGGAGTTTGAGTGCTTTGCCACTGCTTTACCTCATCTCGTGTCCATGCTGCTTTCCCCTGAGGGAGACCCGGATGCACCAGACATCCCGACCCCGCGCTCTTACGCAGAGGCGATAGAGGGTCCCTACTCCTCTCAGTGGCAGACAGCCATGGACGCAGAGATGGCTTCCTGGAAGTCCACAGGCACCTATGTCGACGAGGTTCCCCCACCTGGGGCGAACATCGTCAGTGGCATGTGGATTTTCAGGGTGAAGCGACCGCCGGGTTCTCCGCCTGTCTTCAAGGCGCGTTACGTTGCACGAGGCTTCACTCAGCGAGAGGGAGTTGACTTCTTTCAGCATGACTATGAGCTTCACTCTCTTGACTTCAGCACAGCCTTCCTACAGGGCAGTCTGCACGAGGAGATCTGGCTGCGCCGCCCACCTGGCTTCACTGGGTCGTTTCCTGCTGGTACCCAGTGGAGCCTCCGGCGGCCAGTCTACGGTCTCCGCCAGGCGCCCCGTGAGTGGCACGACACACTGAGGACGATACTTGCGGCTCTTGGGTTTGCTCCTTCCACTGCTGACCCGTCGTTGTTTCTACGCACCGACACCTCTCTGCCGCCGTTCTACGTCCTCGTGTACGTTGACGACTTGGTCTTTGCTACTGCTGACACTGAGGGACTCGCCCACGTGAAGTCGGAGCTGCAGAAGAGACACACGTGCACAGACCTGGGTGAGCTGCGCAGCTATCTTGGCTTGCAGATCACCTGGGACAGAGCACAGCGCACCATTACCTTGACTCAGTCACACATGGCGCAGTAGGCCCTTCAGCACTTCCGCTTCACGTACTCCTCGCCACAGTCCACTCCTCTGCCTACCGGTCACTCGCTCTCAGCTCCACCTTCGGACGAGTCCGTAGAGCCGAGTGGCCCGTATCCAGAGCTTCTGGGCTGCCTCATGTACCTGATGACCTGCACTCGACCTGACCTGGCATACCCTCTTAGCATCCTGGCACGCTATGTTGCTCCTGGGAGACACCGGAAGGAGCACATGGATGCCGCTAAGAGGGTGTTGCGCTACTTGTGCAGTACGTCGGGTATGGGGCTCGTGCCTGGGCTGACGACTTGGCTCCGCAGCGGTCGTCACAGGGTTACACTTTCAGCCTTGGCTCCGGCTCTGTTTCGTGGCGGTCTACCCGCTCGTCTTCTGTTCTCAGCTCCAGTTGTGAGGCTGAGATCTACGCAGGGGCCATGGCTGCACAGGAGTTACGCTGGCTCACCTACCTGCTGACCGACCTGGGAGAGCCGCCTCGTTCTCCTCCAGTTCTGTATGTCGACAACAAGGCCATGATTGCCTTGTGTCAGGAGCACAGACTGGAGCACAGAACGAAGCACATCGCTCTGCGCTACTTCCTTGCTCGAGAGTTGCAGCAGCGTGGTCAGCTTCGTCTTGCTTACGTGGCCACTCGGGCCAACACTGCTGATGTCTTCACCAAGGCACTTCAGCCTTGTGATCATCAGCGTTTCTGTACTGTTCTAGGCCTTGTGCCCACTTGCCTCACTTGCTCACTTCTTGACTTTGCTTGTACTGTGATCTCTATACATATACTTGCATGCTATCACTTGCTAGGTTGTGATCAGTGTATTGCTTGTTCTCCTTTATATAACTCTGCATGTGAACTGGCCTTGTGGCCATTTGCTTTTGCTCAGAATGCGTGGTGACGTCGTGATCCACCCTGAGCTTGCTTTGCTTTTATTGACTGGTCTTGTTTCCTCTTGTTCTCCCCCACTTTGCCTATGGGAGTGTGTCAAACTTATATGCTATAGCTTGTGTAGGCTGTAGTGGGGTAGCCCATATGGGGTACAACCCAAATTAGGGTTTCTTACTTGTACCCACATTGCTGCTAGTTCATTCATTCCTGTTCATTCTTCTGACACTTCTTGCTCACCGACCTTGGTGAGCGGCCTCGCTCAGCACTGACCTTGTTTGCTGACAACAAGGCAATGATCCTCCTGTGTCGAGAGCCTCGAATAGAGAGCAGAGTGAAGCACATTGACGTGAGGTACTTTCTCCTTCGAGAGTTGCAGCGACGCGGCCAGACACGCTTAATCTTTGTGGCCTCAGAGGCCAACACTGCCGACGTCTTCACCGAGGCCTTGGCGCCTGGTGACTACCACATATTCAGTGTGGAGTTAGGACTTGTTGAGGCAGGCCCTCGGTTGCTGTAGCTTTGTCTCTTGCTTGCTGTACTCTTGTTCTTGCATTTATATATTCTTGTGACCTCTGAGAACTGGCCTTGTGGCCCCTTGTTTGTGCTCGGACTGCGTGGTGATCTTGAGATCCACACTGAGCTTTGTTGTGTTTCTCATCTTGACTGGTCTTGTGACCATTTGTTCGTTTCCTTGATGCCCCTCACTTAGTCTATGGGGGGTGTCAAAGTGTAATAACAATGGTAGGCTGTAGTGAGGTGCCTTCTAGGGGGTACAATTCTTAGGTTTGCACATTTGTACCCCATCCACTTTCTAGTTCACACATTCCGTTACTTCTACTTCTGAGAGAGACAAGGAGAACCAAGATTAAGTGATGGGCTGAGGGGAGGGTCGAGTGGAAGAGGGGGGCTGGATTGGAGTGGGAGATTAGGGAGAGCAGGCACAGAGGGTGGGAGAGCAGAAGATCACTATTTGCGGATTCGGCATTGGGTGAGGGTCTCGCCCCCCATCACTCAAATGAATCAGCCACACATAACACTTCCCCTTCATAAAACTACAGAACTATTTCAAAGGAAGGGATGCGGAGCAGTGAGAGAGGAGGGCCGTGAGGCTGTGGCTTCTGTGGAGTGCGAAGGAGGAAGGAATCAGCCTAGGAGAAGTTAGTATAAATGGTGCGCCATTGCACATAACACATGTATCGCTGCGACAAGCTACAGCACTATTTCAAAGAAGGGGCATGCATGGCAGTGAGCGAGGAGGGCGGTGACACCGTGGCTCCTGTGGAGTGTGAAGGAGGGCAGCGCAGGGCAGTCCACAGCATGCTGCCACGTCACCTCCTGCAGCCGCGCTGCTAGATGCTCCAGAGTCACCTGCACAGGGGCGTGGGCAGTGGGAGATGCAGGAGTGAGAGAGGCGGCTGGCATATCTAGTTGCACATGCTGCCGAGTCCCCCCCTGCTGCAACCGCTTCAAAAAGTGGGCAGAGGGAGCGGGGGTCATTGCAGGGAGTGAATGGCACCTCCTGCAGCCGCGCTGCTACATGCTCCGAGTCACTGAAGGGGTGCAGGCAGATAGGGATGCGCGGGTGAGCCTTGTGTGAGTGAGAGTGGCGACAACCACACATGAGAGCACATATTGCTGAGTGCTTTGCTGCAACTGCTCCTGTGCTTCACTGGTTCGAAGAGTGGGCAGAGGAGGGGCAGTGGGTGTTGGCACAGCACACTGGCAGCCAGAGATTGACTGATGTGCTAATGAGAACGCACACTGGCAGCCAGAGATTGACTGATGTGCTAATGAGAACGGCAAAATGGAAGAAAACTGTGAAAATGGAGGACAGATGCAGAAGGGAGGGAAGGCGCAGAAGGGAGGGGAGGCGCAGAAGTGAGGAAAGGTACAAAGGGAGCAAAGGTGCAAAAGGTAGGAAAGGAGCAGAAGGAAGGAAAGGTGCGGAAGGGAGGAGAGGAGCAACGGTGAGGAAAGCTGGAGCAGCAAAGAGCAGCAGTGGCATACGTGGTCGTGGTGTGTGTGGAGGGAAAAATGGCCACAGGAGCACTCAATGGTGGCACCGTGCATGCGCAGGGGACGGGCCTTGCACAGCGGGCATATCACCGTTGCCTCCTGCAAGGCAAGCACAGGGGCAAGGGGCGAGATGATTAGGAAAGTATGCTTTGGGAAAAGAATGCCTTGAAGCGGGTGAGGAGAGGGGTGACGGCAAGGGTCTGAGAGAACAGATGTTGTGGCATAGTGGCAAACGAAGCATCTGCGGTGTTCAATGACATGCCTAATGACAGGCATGGAGCAGGCGGAAGGGGCATGGCAGCAGGCGGAAGGGGCATGGCAGCAGGTAGGGGCCTCGCAGCACAGAGGCACGACCATACTGGTTGTGGGCTAGTGTGTAGAGCGAGAGTACCTGCTGATAAGCGAGAGTACCTGCTGATAAGCTAGTGCGGCCATGATCTCAGCATCCTCCATGCTCTGCTGGTATGCCTCCTCCTCCTCCTCCGTGCTCCGATGGCCTGATGCTCACATGGGTGAGAGCGGCGGACAGATGGGTGAGAGTGGCGGTGAGATGGGTGAGACTGGCGGTGAGATGGGTGAGAGTGGCGGTGAGATGGGTGAGAGTGGCGGACATATGGGTGAAAGTACCGGACAGACACATATGCAGCACTCGCGCACAGACAGAGAGGCCTGCACCCACCTCATTTCACCAACGAACGCCATACACCTGCACAGGTCATAGAATGTCACACACCTTACTGCTGACTGGTCAGACCATGCGCCGTGTACACACCTCAGTCATCCGCACACACGACATTCCCGAGGGGGCGGCTCAGGTGTAAATCACCACCATCGTCATCCTCATACAGCGCCCTCTGCATGTGCAGCAGCAGCACACCACATACCCGAGGGGAGGGGTGGCGGCTGGGCATCCCCGCCCTCATCCTCATACAGCGCCCTCTGCATGTCCAGCAGCAGCTCCTCGTACTCCTCTGCGCTCAGCTGCAACACCCCGTCCGCGTCCTCCCACCGCCCTGCTGCCTCCTCGTCGCTGTCCCACTCGCCTCGCCTCCTCGCCCCGCCTCCCATCTCCCGTGCCCCGTCGCCCCCGTCGTGCATTGCGCCACACGAGGACCACTCATGCTTCATCGCTCGCGCTTGGTGCTCGCCCCTCTCTATCATTGATGCATGCCACTCCCTTTCTAGACCCAACGCCCTGCCTTGCCCCATGCCACCACCACCACCACAACCACCATCACCATTGAAATAATCGCATTCGCCCTCGCCATGCCCTCCACCGCCCTGCAGCCGCTGCAGCTCCCCAAACAGCACTCTCCGCAGCTCTGGCCGCAGCCCTCGCCCCTCCGCGCCCATGCCGTGCGCCAACTCCAACCGCGCCCCCCTTAACCCCTCATCCCGCTCAGCACAACCGCCGCCAGACCATGCCGCCCCCGCCACCGCTCTCCCACACTCCTCCCCCTCCCTCTCCCCCTCCCCGCGCTCGCCCATCGCCACGCCTTCCATCTGCTCGTCCCCCCGCGCGCCCCTAATGCGCTCAGCCCTCCCATCGCGCTCGCCGGCCTCTCTTCCCACTCGCGCGTCCGCCTGCCAGCCCGACCCCACTCGAGCCGCCCCCCCTGGCTGCTGCGCGCCCATGCACGCGAGTGCTGCTGACGTGGATGCGTGCGATTGGACGGTGAGGAGCGGGTGCGGGGCGGTGAGGGAAGACGGCGAGGGAGTAGAGGAGACAGCAGGTTGGGAGAGTGACGAGGGCGAGTGGGAGTGAGAGAGCGAGTGCGAGAGGGAGTGAGAGAGGGAGTAAGAGAGGGAGTGAGAGTGGGAGGAGGAGGAGGTTGAGGAGAGCGATTGTGGTTTGGAGAGCGAGAGGGAGCTAGGGGACAGCGGGGAGAGGCTTGCGGAATGTGAAGCGAGGGGAGGGTGCGCGGAGGGAGAGGGGGAAGCAGACGTGCGCATGTCCCAGAGCAGGCGGTCGCGATTGGCGCGCACGCGGTGAAGACACATGACGCGCAGCTGCGGGGGTGGCCCGGGGAAGTGGGGTGAGTGAAGGGGAGTGAGAAAAGATGGGCGGAGATGAGGGGTGGCACGGATAGGTGGTTGATAGGGTCAGTGCGCAGAGGAGTGGATCGCATCGCTTCTGAAAATTGTAAGAAAAAACACGATGTGGGCAAGTACGCGCGATCATTGGCTTAGCAAGTCTGAATGGTGCGGCATACGTGATGCGAATCCGCGGGGGAAGAGAATTAAGATGAAAAAAAGAAATAAAAATAACAATGCTGGCTCGAAAATGGATAATAACGAAAGACGGACGACTTTAAACGGACCTTCTCTTTCATGTGCGACCGCAGAGGTCCCTTGATCGGTGTTCTCTCCATGCCGCTGAGCTAGCAAGGTTATCCGCGGAGTCGATTCAGTCGGCCTTTGATCACGACCCAGCTGCGCACCCTCTCACACACTGTGAAAGCAATGTCGAAACGACAGCGAAGGACGAGCGACGTGTTAGGGTTGGTTCGCCCAACCACGGAACCTACGGCGAAATGCGGAATGACGGCGAAATGGAGCGCGTGGGAGATTCTAGATCTAAGACGGTGGAAATCGGCCTACGGTGGATATTGGAAGCTACGGCGTGAGAAGCGGGAGAAGAAACTAGAGAAACTTGTAAAACAGAGTAGCTCTGATGACTGGAAGGCTGGAAACTTGGCTGGAAGAGCTCAACAGAGCTGCTGGACTTGGCTTGATGAGAGAAAACTTACACTATGCTCAAGATTGTACAAGCCCACTAAGGCACAACTTCTTAAGCATTACAATCATGCAGATTGATAGCTCAAACTAGGCTGCTAGACAAGGCAACTTCCTGGAGAACTTAGGCACAATTCAGATTCCATGAACCTTGAGTGACTTGAGAGCCACATGAGGTGCATGAATAAGAAAGCTCTGGAATTCTCTGTCATAGCTGATTTTGTTTGGTAGAAACCTGTAGAAACTGTTGACACTTCTTCTTGAAAACAATTCCGAACTGTATCGAGAATTCGGCTCCAATTTGATTGGTTGAGAAACTTTCTGATTTGTTTGCGAAGCCTTCAATCCGTCGCCGACATTCCCCCCTTGCTGCTCCTTTTGTGCAAAGGGCTGGGGCGGCAGAAACTTGATTCTCCAACACTCCCCCTCGCACCAGACCCGAAGCACACATACGCCCATTCTTATTCTCCTCTTACATCTCCTTGGCATACACTCCATGCTGCTGCCCATATTGCTTCTCCTCATACCCCTCATTCTCCTCAAACTGCTGCACTGCTTCATGAAGTGTCATGAGACCTGCTCTTGCCTTGCACATGTTGAATGCATCATGTGGAAGAACCTCGTCATGAAATCTGCTGCTTGGTCGAATGAACGGCAAAAGTTGACGGCGAGAACTCCCTTCTCTAGTTGCTCACGGATGAAATGGTACTGCACCTCGATGTGTTTTGTACGCCCATGATGAACCGGGTTCTTGGAAAGAGCGATGGCTGAAGTGTTGTCCACGTAGAGCGGAGTCGGTTGAGTTTGCGGCTGCCTCAAGTCCTCCAAGAGTCCACGTAACCAGATTGCCTCCCTTGCTCCTTCGGTCATTGCCATGTACTCGGCTTCGGTTGTAGAAAGCGCCACACAACTTTGCTTGCGTGATTGCCAAGAAACAGCGGCACCGCACATGAGGAAGATGTAGCCGCCGGTGGACTTGCGTGTGCTCAATTCTCCCGCCCAATCTGCATCGGTGAAGCCTTGGAGGGAGCTTGCATGTGGGCTGGCTTGGAAGAGAAGACCAAGATTAGAAGTACCTTTGAGATACCGAAGAGCTCGCTTGGCTGCATGCATATGGGTAGGTGATGGGGCACTCATGTGTTGAGCTAGCTTGGATACCGTGAATGCTAGGTCGGGCCTTGTGCATAGGGCTGCATACATGAGACACCCAACCTGACTTTGGTAGAGAGCTAGGTCTTGTGGGGATACCTTGGGTGAATTTTCACCATGATGCTCACTCTCCTCAAGACACAACTCCTCAATACCCGTGATGTCAAGGCTTGACTCCCTCTCTTCATAGGGCTGATGTGATGACAGAGGGACAAAGTTGGAAGGAAGCGGGGTAGGTGATGGCTTGCTATCATCAAGACCAAACCTCTCAAGGACCTTTTGGATGTACCTTTGCTGGAATAGGAAGATGGACCGTGACTTATGATCTCTCACAATGTTCATACCAAGATAATGACTCGGCTCACCAAGATCGGTCATCGTGAATGCACTCATGAGAATACCTTTCACCTTGTTGAGGAGATCAAGAGAACCTGAGACTAGGAGGAGGTCATCAACATATACCAACAGCCAAATGTACTCCCCCTTACTCGTGTGCATGAAGTACAACGCGTTGTCTCTCATGGACCTTGTGAAACCGTGCTTGAAGAGTACCGTCTCAAGAGCATGATACCATACCCGTGGGGACTGTTTGAGACCATAAAGTGACTTTACCAAGCGACAAACTCGACCCGTACCATCATCATAACCTTCGGGTTGTGCCATGTATACCTCTTCGTCCAAGACACCGTAGAGAAATGCGTTATTGACATCCATTTGATGGATATGGAGACCAAGATATGCGGCTATGGCGAGGAGGACTCGTACCGTGGTGTACTTCGCTACCGCGGCAAAGGTTTCGGTGAAGTCAAGACCTGGAATTTGGGAATAACCTTTTGCCACTAACCTTGCCTTGTACCTATCAAGTGTACCATCATCTTTTACCTTAATCTTGTACACCCATTTGACACCAATTACCTTCTTCTCTGGAGGTGGCTCAACAAGACGCCATGTACCTCTCTTCATGAGACTCTCAATCTCTTCTTCCTCGGCCTTCAACCAATGCTCTCTCTCGGGACTTGCCACTGCCTCACGACGACTCAATGGCTCTCGTGGAAGGTGTGACGCTGCCATGCATATTGCCTGTACCTTCTTGTGAATGCAATTCTCACTCTCCTCACACGTGCACCTTGATGACATGTCAACCATGAACGTGAAGGGCTTTTTCATCTTGCGGACTCGTTTACCTTTACCCAACTCCTCACTTGACTGAGACACATCAGTAGTAGGGTTCGGTCTCACAGTGCTTGGATGCGTTGACACTGTCATTTGCGGCTGAGACAACGGCTGCGACAGCGGCACGGCTGCATGATCTTCTCCCGGCGTGGAACTCTCTCGATTATCGGTGTTGACTTGAGGAATAGGAGTGATGGCTCGTGGCGGTGAAGCTGAAACGTTCGTCGGCATAGTTGGTTGTGAAGGTGCTCTTGGTGGGGATCTTGAGACTAGAAGCTTGGGGATTGATGATGACGCTGCGTTGTCAAGAGGTGATGATGAATGGGGCTGATTGGTGTTGTTTCTCGGTGTTGAAGATGACGGTAATTGATGACGGCCAATTCCGGGACGTGGGGGTGAAGTTGAGAAAGGTCTTGGGTGAAGAAGTGGGCTGTTGGAGCTGGTGTTGGTGGTGACTCGCTGAAGTGATCCTCGTGCTATGAGCTGGCTTGACGTTGGAACCTGAAGTGATGAACGTGTGTGAGAACGAGATGTTGCGGTGATGGTTGTCTTGTTGGTAGGAAGAATTGTAGATGGTGTGGATGTAGGTACTTGGGGTGTTGTGGCTGTTGATTGCTGCTGCATTGGATGATGATGAGTGTCGGTAGTTGCCTCTGGAGTGGCGGCTGATGATGGGTTTGGTGGCGTAGTGGTGGGCTGATCCAATGGACGTTGAACTTGCGGAGTAGGTGTTGAAGTAGCTGGCTGGTTTGTGACGGATGGCTGCTGCTCCTTTGGTGGTGATGGAACGGTGACTTCCTGAGGTGGATGGTCTTCATTTGATGGCTGAACTTCATCTCCACTTGGTTGTGTAGCTGCTGGTGGCGCTGGTGTGGCACGGCTGGTCTCGTTGACGACGGCTTGAGGGAGATCGATGATGGGTCCGCTATGGTCAGAATCTGTGTCATCTTCTTCCTCCTCTTGTGTTGTTTCTTGTGCTCTTGCTAGTTCCTGCTGGATAGAGGGTGGTAGAGAGGAGGAAGAGGAAAACTTGTGCCAATCTGCAAGGGACATGTCTTCATAGAAGACCACATCCCTTGAAACCACTTCTCGCTTGGTGACGGGATTCCAAAGGACCCATCCCTTGCTCTCGTTGCTCATGCCGATGAAGAGGCCCCAATGAGCTTTGCTGTCCAGCTTGAGTCTCTTTGCATCTGGAACACGGTATTGGGCCATGGAACCAAAAACACGAAGCATAGAAAGATCTGGTTTAACTCCAAACCAAGCCTCATATGGCGTTACACCATCCGGTAGGGGCCTTGTGGGTCTCCTGTTGCGAACATAAATTGCCATAGTGATTGCCTCACCCCACCAGAGCTTGTCAAGGCCCTTAAACTGAAGAAAAGTGGTAGCTATAGTCTGAATAGTGCGATGAAACCTCTCTGCCACTCCGTTTTGCTGAGGACTATAGGGACAAGTGAACTGTTGTTTGATGCCCAATGCCAACAACTCCCCCTGAAATGCTTTCCCCATGTACTCACCTCCTCGGTCCGGCCTCAAGGTGAGTAACTTCTTCCCTGACTCTCTCTCAACAAGTGCTAGCCATTGCTTGAAACACTTGTGCACTTCATCCTTGGTGTTGATGAAAAAGGACCACGAGAAACGACTCTTGTCATCAATGAAAGACACCAAATATTTCTTACCGTTTCGAGTAGGGTCTCGCATGGGGCCGAATACATCAGTGTGGACCAACTCTAGGAGGTCCCTTGACTGAGACTTAGAAGGAAAAAATGGCTTTCTTGCTAACTTACCTTTGACACAAGATGGGCATGGGACGGTAGAAAGAGACTTGACTGCACTTTCACTCAAATTAAGTCCTTCCACGCTCTTGTGACTTACTAACTCTTTGAATGCTTGCATCCCCAAGTGCCCCAAGCGTGCATGCCATACCTCAGCTAAGGAGATACTCCCTTTGTTGTTGACTTGATCGGTTGAAACAGCGGGAAGTGAAACAACGTCGTTCTTCGCGTTGCTAGAACCGCGCTTAATCTCCAACTTCATCTTGTAGAGACGCCCGGTACGCTCGCCTTCAGCCACCAAATTTCCTGCACTATCCCACACTTTGGCTTTCCCCCCTTGCAAAAGAACAGAGGCACCTTTCTCTTCAAGTTGTCCAGCTGAGAGCAAGTTTGCTCCCAAATCAGGAACAAATAAAGCTTTATTGACACAAAAAGACTTACCATCCTTTTCAAACTCAAGCTTGCCGACTCCTTTGATAGGTACTTTGCCAAGATCAGCAAGTGTCACAGCTTTTGAGTCATACGAGGGCTGAAAA